CTGACCCTATTCAATCTTTCTAGAGAAGACGGGGCCACTGGAGGCTCAGTGGGGCCACAGTTGCTCACATGTCCCTCAGCCCCCACCCTAGGGCACTCCTTGACCTATTTTATCTCCTGGGACTGCCCCACTGCTCACTGGAACTCCAGGACCCACTCTCTGACCACAAGGAGACCTCTGGGCCCATCTTCTGTCACCCACTCGCCCTGCTGCCCTCTGCTTCTTTTTCTTCTATGTCCAGCACCAACGCCACATCCTTGTCTTTGTCCCTCTCACAGGGCCTAGAATACATTGCAGGTCCACACTATGGCCAGGCTGACTCCCGATTTAACCCCAAACTTTAGTCCATGGCTTCTGGTCCACTGGTCCCCACCCCTGACCCTCCCTGGGTCTGGCTGGCTCTGGTTTTCCACTGCTCCGTGGCGCATCTGTGGCTGTAGCTAGGCATCTGGCATTGCCCTCTGAGCCTGGCCAGCAGCCTATAGATGACTTCCTGGCTTGCCAGCCTCGGATGGCTCATCTGACATCACAGCAGGGCCAGCTCCTTGGCCCTTCCAATCAGATTCTCTGTGGTGAGGGTCCTGCTTGGCTCTCACGACCCCAGTGTGCCCCTAGTGCCTCAGCTCTTGTAGCTGCTCCTCCCCACGCCCATGCCACACGTGTCCAGGCCCAAAGATGTGAGAGCTCAGCAGCCTACACGCTCAAGGGATGAGCTTGGCTCTGGTCACAGTGGGTGCTGGCCATCTGCATTTATGGTCCTCTCCACCCTCCTCCTCCCGCCCTTCCTGGGCTGGGGCTGGCATGGCTCAGTAGTAGCAATGCCAAAATGGGCAGGCAGAGGGCAGGACAGGGGGGCCTGCCAATGACGCGGCTGCAGGGTGTGCAGCCTGGGATGGAAGCATCAGGATTGCGGTGGGGCCGCGGGTGGTGGAATGGCCTTTGGTCCTGGGCAGGGGCCTGCTGGCTTGGGCCTTCTGTCCCCCATCCATACACTGTGAAAAGGCACCCTGGGCCATCCATCCAAGGGACTCGGGATACATTCAGGAGGGGCTTAGGGAAAGGTTGAGCTTCCCTGGCTCGGGGAGCTCTGAGCCACCCTGGAGCGCGGTCGGCAGAGGGGCCAGCTCTCCTACCTGTGAGGCATACGTGTCCAGTTTCTCAAACTGCTGCAGGTCCAGGGGCATGGATTTCAGGCTGGACCGATCCCAGGGGTAGGCTGGAAACACAGGGAGGCTTGGTCAGCTGCTGAGACCTGCTGACGAGGGCTGCCTGGCTCAGGCCGCCCTGTCTTTTTGAGAAGCTGTGCCTGCCCGACTTTTAGCATGATTCTCAGAGCCCGAAACTCTGCTCCCAAGAGCTGTCTCTCTCAGAAAGATCCCTTGGTCAAGTTGGTTTGGGGTCTTGGAGACACAGGGGAACGAGACAGTGGAGCAGGTTGTACGGTCAGTGTCACTCGCTCCCCGAGGGTGCAGGGTGGGGTCTCTGCAGGCAAGTGCAAGAGGCTGGCTATGAGCCTCAGCGCCCTGTGCATTTGCCCACACATCCTGCAAGGGCTGTGAGAGTCCACACCTTGGTGCTACAGACCCCAGAGATGTGGTGAGAAGGTGAGGATGGGTGTCACCACCAGCTCCGGCCTGAGCTGCTCCATGACCCTCGCTGGGCCGGCACTGGATGAGAGGCCGTGCCAGCTGGTTAGGCAGCTGGTCAAGTTTAGCTGCCAGGAGCAGGCCGCATGGATCCTTCTGCATCTCCCCACCGCTCCAAGGTCCCTACCGTAAAGCTGTGGCCTCACTCAGCAACTTAGCATTCTCTTTCTTCTTCTGCTTCTTCTATAAGGACTAAGGCATATCCTGGACCCCACACCCCAGATCCTGCTGTCCTGCACAACCTCACATTAGCACTCCCAGGAAGCCCAGCACCATCATGG